TTTATTATGTGTGTGTAAGTGTGTGTAACTCCATCACAATTTGCTAACTTCCTCTCTTCCCCTCTTAGCTTGCACAGATCAGACAGTCTGAGTCTGTTTCCCAGAAAACCTGACCAAAGACAGGAGACAGTTGGCAAACCACTATATGGAAGACCCAGAGGTAGACAGTGGCAACTGAGGATGGGGGCACACTTCTCAGGAGATGGAACTGAGAGGATGTACTGACAACCTGGCTGGGAGGGTTCAGAGAGATCAGAACACTGCCCAGGTGTCTGGTTGGATGGCGGCATATAGAGAAAGGCGTTTGGAACAAAGTGTGTTGGAAATGCTTGCCAGACATTCTGCTAAAGATCTCTGATAGGTAACTGTCCTTAAAACAGCAGGATGTGCAGAGGCTGGAGCTCAGGGAAGAGGTCTGAGCTAGAATCACAGCTTTGGAGGTCACCAGGGCTAGATGATAACTTATACAACATGTACTTATGGAAATGTAAATACTAGTCCCAAGGGCATAGTCTCAGCTTATCTCTCATTCAAAAGGCAAAGCTAAGGAAAAATCTGCAAAGAGATAACCCTGGTTAGATATCTGTCTAACCAGGACATACATTTGAAGGACTCCAAGCAGCCCTTCAGTACTTGGTAGGTTTCGGTTGGCTGAAGTGACCCCAGAGCCAGCATTTTCCAGGTGGCATCAGAGTAACAGGAGTGTCTCCAACAGAGATTCTTTGAAAGGAAGTTTTTTCAGGTCAAGGACATTTACAGAAACCTTAAACTGACAGTGCCTTCCTCAAAATTCACAATATGTGTTAGCACACATGACTTTCTCAGATCTGTTTAGCCCTAAAACCTTTTTGGGTGGAGTTTGTCGATTCATGCATCACACAATGCTCATTTCAGGAAATACAGGTCAGCCTTTCCTGTCCCAAGGCCTCACACACTGTAGACACTGAAGGTTTAGAAACTGGGAGGAGAGGCTCTGATTAAATAGGGACCTGACTGGCCTGTCCCTTTTCACCAAGGAACCCTGAAAATGCAGGCAGTAAGGGGAATTCAGAGTCTGGGGCTGTGGGGCAGAGGACTGGGGTGGGGTGGTGGGGTGGTGCTTGAAGTGGGTGTGGTCACATCTGGAGAGAATTAAGCCCAAGCTGGTGCTGCTCAACATGAAGACCAGCAAGACATCTGTAGAATGAGAGACAGTCAAGCTCATTTAGGGTCACAGGACGACCAGAGGAGGTGAAAAGGAGAAATAAAATCACATTTCTAGAAGCTTTTGTGGGATTGCACCTTTGAGAGAACCCTGGAAAGCCTGTGGGGTGCATCACAGCCAGGAGATGACCCAGACCAAGGTAAGAAGTTCCAGCTAGAGCTCTGAGTGTCTGCACATGTACGCAGGGGTGTTGGAGGGGCATGTGGAGAAAGGACAAGGGAGCCAGGACAGGAGCACTGCTGTAGGGAACAGCCACACGTGTGTGTGTCATGAGAGAGTAATGTTTTCCATGTGGATGTATTAAAAACAGAGAAACAGGCTGTGAAGTTGGTTCAGTGGGGAATGCACTCGCTGTGTAAGCGTGAGGACCTGAGTTTCATTTCCACGTGGTGGGAAGGAGAGAACTAGTTCCTGCAAGCTGTCTCTGACTTCCATACATGTTCCCTGGCATTCTTTCTCTCTCTCTCTCCCTCCCTCCCTAAATAAAATAAAACATATGTTAAAAAATAAACAATGTTGAGGAAATTATTCAGTAGGTAAAGCACTGTGCCAAGCATGAGGACCCGAGTTTGGATTGGACCCATGTAAAAGCTGGGTATTGCTGGGGAGGTGGAGACAGACAGATCTTAGGGGCTCACTGGCCAGTCAGCATAACCAAAATGGCAGGGTCCAGGTATAGTGAGAGACTTTATCTAAAATAGTAATAATTGGGGCTGGAGAAATGACTCAGCAGTTAAGAGCACTGTCTGCTCTTGCAGAGGACCCAGGTTTGGTTCCCAGTACCCACATGGCAGCTAACAACTGTCTGGAACTCCAATTCCAGGGGATCTGATGTCCTCTCCTGACTTCTGTGGACAATGTACTACACTGGTGCACTTACATATATATGCAGGCACTATATTCATACACATAAAATAAAAAACTAATAATAAAGATATTTTTTAAATTATTAAAAAAAATAATGTGGGGCTGGAGAGATGGTTCAGTGGTTGAGATCACTGACTGCTCTTGCAGAGGTTTGGGGTTCAATTCCTAGCACCTATATGGTGGCTACACACCATCCTTAACTCCAGTTCCAAGGGAGTTTGATGCTCTCTTCTGACCTCCACAATACTGCATGACATGGGTGCACTCACATTCAAGCAGGCAATATACTCTTACACACAAAATAAATTAATAAATAAAATATTAAAAGATAATGTGGCAAGAGACTGAGAAAGACACCTATTATCCACCTCTGGCCTCCATACACACCTGCAACGGTAAGGGCACCCAAACACAGAGGTACACACATGCATGCACACACACACACACACACACTCATGCATGAAAAACCAAGAAATGTTAATCACTGGACTGGGAGTACTACACCTGCGGCCCCAGCATGAGTCACCTCCAGGAAGGAGGTGAGCAGATTTCAGGATTCTGTGGAAAATTGTAGTGGGAGCTGCCTCAGCCAGACAGATAGGTCACTTTGGTCTCTAAGGGTGTGGTCACTCACAGTGAGTACCATGTATGAGGCAGACTCATGCATGAAGGATGATAAAGAGGAGGTGCACATTGGGGAGAAAAGATTATAGAGGAAAGAGCCAGGTGTGGGGGCACACAACAGTAATCATAGCACTTTGGGGATAGACACTGGAAGATACCTGGGTTAATAAGACCCTGCCTCAAAAAACTGAAAATAAATGAGAGAGAGAGGGAGAGGGAGACGAAAGGATGAAGATAGGAAATAATGAGGGAGAAAGGGAGAGAGAGAGAGAGAGAGAGAGAGAGAGAGAGAGAGAG